TATATATATATATTACTTGGTTCAAATATTTTTTTATTATGACATTCGCAATGTTTCAATACATGCATAAAATAATCTTAGCTTATAATAATGATTCTTATAACACAAAATTTCTCGACATTTTCTTTGGTTTGCTTTATAAATTTTTGCGATCTGTGATCTAGAAGATTTACCGTCTCTGTGGAAACGTCCTAAATCTCTACGTAGAGATGATTCGTTGGGGGCTTGTTAAGCCTTTTCAGTGATACACAAATGCTTATTTAAAATTACTGGAAACAAAAGTCTCGGTATCAAACGAAACATTTCTAGGCTTGTGTTATCACTGTCTCTTTCTTCTCCAGTTGTGATTAAATGTACTAGAATGTTAACGATCTAAACTCTGCCAGCAAGAAGAAAGAATAGAATTCACGAGATGAACGAGTGAGGGCATGGGGAATGGATATTTCTAAGAATAGTTTCGAATAATCTTGGGTTGTGTCCAACGTCTAACCTTCACTTACGCAATTCGACAAAGTGTAGGACATCACGTAGGCCTGTATTTTACTGCTTGCATGATATTACAAAAAAAAAATAAGAATTGCAAAATCGTTTTACCATCGTTGTACACTAGGAAAACAAAAGCAAAACCTAAACCGAATATAATATTATACTTTTATAATATTGCTGTCTTGATGCAAAAAAAAAAAGTTTGACTTTGATGAACATGATAATAGATGTCTTTTGATGTCATTAAAAGTGTCTCAGAAACAATAGCTCTTATTAACTGTTGATTTAACATAAAGTTATATATCTAAGGGTAAGCTTCTGGTAGGTAAGTGGTTAGTCAGGTTTTTTCCATATTCGCCATACTACACCACTTGCTAGAAGATAATCATTGATAGAGAAAAAGTCCATTAGAGTATCACTGCGTGTTCCTTCATAAATGCTTTTATATCATTGCCTTCTGATTGGGTCGGGCGTAGCCTAGTGGTTAGCATACTGGATTGTGTAGCCTGGTGGCTAGTGTACTGGATTGTGTATCCTAGTGGCTAGCTTACTGGATTGTGTAGCCTGGTGGCTAGTTTACTGGATTGTGTATCCTAGTGGCTAGCTTACTGGATTGTGTGGCCTGGTGGCTAGTTTACTGGATTGTGTATCCTAGTGGCTAGCTTACTGGATTGTGTGGCCTGGTGGCTAGCTTACTAGATTGTTTAGCCTAGTGGCTAGCTTACTGGATTGTGTGGCCTGGTGGCTAGCTTACTGGATTGTGTCCTGTTACCGCAAAATATCGTTCTACATTTTTTGGGCGTAAGAGTAACGGACTGATGGTTCAAATCCCACTAAAGTAGCTCAAGATTGGCGATGGGTGCTTTTGACAAGCTACCTTTCCTCTATCCTTTCAGGTCAGAAACAGTGACAGCTAGTGCAGGGAGCCTTTATTTAGCTCTGTGAGAATACTCAAAACAAATAAACAAAAACATTTCGATCATTTCCGAAGAAGCAGGAAAAAAAATATTTTACTTATTCTCCATAAAAATGGTCATTTTCTTCCATAGAATATTATTATAAAACATTTTAGACTGAATACAAAAAGTATGAGAAGAACGATAAATAATACAATGTTTTCTATTAGCCCCCTACCTGACATCTGAGTTGTCCCTAAGTTAATATTTACCAATCTCTACTTGAAAATATCATCATGACTTATACGACAACATATACTCCAAAGATTAATAAATACAATAATTCTGGTTGATATGGCAATGAAATTTACATTTTCGTCATATACACAGTAAATCAAGTTTAGTCTTAGAAGCAATAGTTTTGGAAGAAAGAAAATCCGTTTGTAGTTGATAATCATATCTCTGAGTACCAGCGCCTGTCTGACGCCATAATCGACTTTGTTTTGTGTCATTGAAATTAAAAAAAAAAAGTCTTATGCGAAGTGAAATGGGACACAAAGACAAAACGTCCCTGTCTATAAAGGTCACCAGGACAAACCCCTTGAATTACACGAGCCCACTGTTCCACGTTTCCAAATGCTACTATGGTTTCAGATATATGGACACCGTTGTTCCAAAGATTGACGTTCACATATTTGTATATATATAGTTTATCAAATGTACGACGAGCATTTCAGTGTACAGATATCGAAAATACAATAATTGATTCAATCTCAGTCTTAGGAAATCTGGCTTATAGTTTTCCTTATAATTCACTATTTCTCTTGAATTTACTTCCAACATTTTAAGATATTTAGGTCTAAAATTAATATTCCATGAAAACGTTAATTTAAACAATTTTTATTTTTGGTATTTTGTTCAAGTCTGTTTAGCTTGATAAATAAAGTACAAATGTGTTTGAGTTAATGCATTAAGTAAAAAGTTCTTACTGTTTATTTAACAAAGTTACACAATGGTTTATCTACGGTCTCTCCACCGTGGGAATCGAACCCCGGATTCAAACGTTGTAAATCTGGAAACCTACTGCTGACCCACCAGTAGACATTTTGGAAATAAAGTATCTATAATGTAATTTACTTTACGGAAAATCAAAACCAAATATATATATGAGTGTACATTCTTTGAAGAAGTTATCCAGGGTTTTAAATTAATTTTATAATTTATTTCGTTTTATTTCTATAAGCATATGTTGTCCTTTTAGAAGAGCCTTCTTTTTTTGGCATGGCTGCTTTGAAGGCTGATAACGTGAACAGAATCACACCCTCGATGCACTATTCATCCAGTTACGACGTCAAGTGATTTGACGTATCTGCTAGGTTTCCGTGCGCAGCTTAGCAACATGATCAGAGCAAGTGACGTAAGCTAAAGGATGCTAAATTTAACTCAGTTCCTGGAGACATCTTGAATAGGATTTGAAATTTAATGCAATTAGTTTCTTCCATATGGAAAAATGTCAATATCATACGCTATGCATAAGTTAGGGATTTTTTTTAAATAACAAAACTAAATAATAATTCAAGTTAATCAAAAAAAATTCTAGTTTTCGTTTGAAATTTATGTTGCAATATGCTCGGCATCTTAGTAATAATAATGTATAACTTATAGGGTGCTTTCTGAATTGTGAGGAAACTAATAAAGATAAGCTTGAGAGAATAATGATTTTTATAACATACATTTGTCAACGTCTGTTTATGTGAAACTAATAACCTAAATAGATTATATCATGACGCCAACTAACACTTTTTAGACAAAATTGCAAATTATTGCAAAACAAAGTATATATATATAACGTAGCATACGTTTTATTTGTTTTATTGGTTCATTACAGATATCCAAATCAAAACGTGTTTAAATTGGCAGATTAAGCCTAAATTTAAGTTCATTTTTCGTCATAGCGAACGTAACATGTACATATCTTCTTGGTCATTATTCTGAAAGGAAGTTTTTTTTGGTATGATATATTTTCATTGCATTATCTTGTTATATGATACGTTACAAAAAGTTTTTTTGCATACGTTATTTAATAAAATAATTTTGCCTTGACGATATGAACAATGTTCAAGGTAATTATAATCACAGAATCAGTCAATTAAAAACTGGAAGCAACAGCTTTATTTCTGGCAAATTTAATGTAGTATATTAAAAGGAATACGGCTTAGGGCGTCTAACCATTGTCGTCTGAGTAATTAACTACCATATTAAAAAAGAATACAGCTTAGGGCGTCTAATCATTGTCGTCTGAGTAATTAAACTTGTTTCGGAAGATACCATAGATGTTAAATCTCTTTTGGAGGGGAAGGGGATCGTCCATTCAAACAAGTTTATTAAGCTTCTAAGCATATATAAATTATTTGTCTTCTTTTGTTTACAATCAAATAAGTTTATTTCCATGTAACTTAAATCAGTCATTTAAGTGGTATTAGAAAACACAGATCAGTAACGAGGATCTTTATAGGTATCAGTCAATTTATACTTATACTTTTATAAACGATCTCTTTAAATGAAGGAAAATACGGGATGGATTAGCTCTGAGCAGTTTAGCTTCGCATTTATTTTAGTAAAATTAGTTATTATTAAACTTTTAAAGTTCTACACATGAACGTTCTATTCATATTTATCATCGAAGATGCTTTCATGACTTAGAGTTTCTATAACTTTAGTCCTAACCTACGTAAAACTGTGACCCATGAAAAACAATATCTAAGGTGAAAAGTATAAAGAAATGCTTTTCTATAGAAATACCGCCACATAAAATGCATGTGCATATAATACCGCCACATAAAATGCATGTGCATATAATACCGCCACATAAAATGCATGTGCATATAATACCGCCACATAAAATGCATGTGCATATAATACCGCCACATAAAATGCATATGTATATAATACCACAACACAAAATGCTTTTGTATATAATACTACAACACAAAATGCTTTTGTATATAATACTACAACACAAAATGCTTTTGTATATAATACCACAACACAAAATGCTTTTGTATAAAATACTACAACACAAAATGCTTTTGTATATAATACCACAACACAAAATGCTTTTGTATAAAATACTACAACACAAAATGCTTTTGTATATAATACCACAACACAAAATGCTTTTGTATATAATACTACAATACAAAATGCGTTTATATACATAATACCACTGCATAAAATACATATATATATGTATAATGTTTTTTCTTTATGTTTTTAGATTTGATTTAGTAGTTTGTAAATTTACATTTTATTTCGATGTCTAGTTTATGTAAGCCACCAAAATCAAATTTGCAAATATTTTTATAATTAACCCTTTTTCGTAGAGTTCGCGATATGCGCTTATATTTATTTAACTGAACTTTTTATTAATAAAAATTAACCCATTGTCATTAATAGGATTAATTTATTTTCATAACGTTTTGTTTATTTTTTTAAGAAAAACAAACTAAATGAGCTTATTTGGTAAGGCCTAGAAAATTTAGTTTTGATGTTATTCGAACGTATTTTAGATAAGACTCTTTAACGTATATATTTAAATAATACCATCGTGGTACTTACCTCTTCATCTTAATCCTTTTTTAAAGTAATCCATAGTTTAAAATCCGAACACAGAACCGTACATTCTTTTTTCTTATCCTCAAACAAGATAATGCGTTATCATCTAATTCACCTCCAAGGCCTCTTTAAAGATACCATAACTTTTTACCCAGTTTTTTACACGGTTGTATAACACTCGTATAAGATATCGTGTAGCATCAACCATCATCGATGGAATAATAACATGTCAATACTGACTTTTTTAGGTGACAATGGAGAAAGCTGTCGACAGATAACTTTGATAACTGATTACGTTTGGCCATTATGAAAATAATTACTAGTATTATGTCGACGACACAAACAACAGATGTAGCCTAAGATTTCTTTTCAACTTTGTAATTAATATAAATTTTATACGGTGCACGTGAAATGTGAAAGCTGAAATCCTGAATCCGTATATAAAACTGGTGCACCACGACCCGTTTCTATGAGGGAACACGAAAAGAGGACTGATTTGGGCCATTTCTTACTCATTTATACCAAGTATGTTTACGGACTGGTGCCAGTTGGCTCGTGAGCCACCTTGATTTCACTTCGCGCCACTCTATCTTACGTTACATGACGGAAGAGTGACGCATGCTGAGCTGTGTTGCCATAGCAACTTATCTTGTGGAGCCCAAAAGGTTGTCAAGTCGACGAGGCCATTGGCGTCATCTGACTCCAATGACGTTACTGTAGCAAGGATAAGATTTCATGTCCTATGTTCTGTAGATTTAACTTAAACAGCTTTATATTAAGTTTACAACTTATGTAATACTTCGTAAGGAAAACTTTAACCAAAAATACTACAACTAGCTGATCTCACATTATACCTCGTATCCTTAGTATACGAGATTTGTCACTTAAAAAAATGTGCTTGTGTCACAGTTGGGGATCACAGTCACATGATAATTTGCAATCTTCTAAATAACATTATGTCGAATGAGAGTCAAAACGAGTTTTCATTGAAAACTTGCAAAGTCGTAATGAATAAGTCACTGAAGATTCCTAATTTTATTACACTAAATAAATGAACAGAAGTTACTTAATAGGGGCCTGGAGTGGTCTACTACTTTACGTTTCGGGCTGCGGATTAGAGAGTCCAAGGCTCGAATTGCAATATCCTGCTTAAACGATCCTATGGCTTTATGGCTGTGACAATCAATCCCTTCGTACAGTTAAGAGTAGCCGCATAGGCGGTGGTTGCTTTTGATTAATTGCCCTCCTTTGAGTCCGCATTTTAAAGTTAGGGATGGTTATACCTGAATCCTTGAGGCCTCTGATCCGAGCATTTAGCACGTGTGTCTATTAAGGTGGCGTTCAGGTTTAAAATACTAAATACCTACGGATATGAAACTGTAGATGTTAAGAAATGTTCAACAACTTTCTGAGAATTTTTAACATACGATTTATTATTAACTTTATCCAACTATTAAAGATGCCTACTATGCATATAACTGTCTCTTGAATTATTTTATGTAAAAGTTAATTAACGTTTTACTGTTTTTATTTTTTAGTGCTAAGAAAGAAAAAGAGTAGCCATATACTGAATGATAAAAGAAGATCCTAAAGCCTCAATAACAGACTTTTTTTTTATTAAAAACTATTAATTTGAATATATGCATTTGTAATAATTATTAATATTAAACTAGAAGTGCTGAACACTGTGGTGTGAAAATACCACATATCTCAGTCCTCTATAGTGTGTATTTTAAATTTAATATATATATATATGTAAACAATTTTAATTGAGAACGTAATAAATCTGGACGGGGTCGTGTGCCAATTTAGATTTATGTGTTACTCTTTGTAGCAGGACACAGTCACGAAAACTTTTCACAAGATAGAGGTATGTCCTACTTTACCTTCTCCATGTGGGACTGCCGTACGAACTTCACACGGAGCACAGATATTTCCGAATACACGTGATTTAGTTTTCTAATTGGCTATCTATCGGTAGAACGTGTAGTCTATGAGAATTGCTTTGGCTTTTTCAACCAATTTCTGTCTTGGAAGAGTTAGGGCTGGCCGTGAAGCCTTGTCTGTGATTCGTTGATCACCCCTACAGTTCCATTTCGTTTACTTTTTAGTTTTTTTTTCATTTATTTTAGCTTATAATATCACAACAAATATTTCCTCACTTAGACAATCATCAACTTGAGCTTCATTCTTTTGTTTTTGCCTGTCTTTGCAATTAATCTTCTCTTCCCCATTCCACCTGTAACAAGTCCATACACCTTTCCTTTCGCATATTACGTCCACAGATTTACTGTTATTGCTAAGATTAGGTTTCGTGATTTCACGAAACTGTAGCACCACACAGCCTGTAAACAATTATTTAATTTTAAAGAAATTTAACTTTGGCACTCTATCTACATAAACAGCAATTTCTTCAATATTACTGCGAGATCTTAGGCGATAGTTCCAAAATATAGTAAAAATAATACCAAAAATATAGCTTAACTAATTATATAAGCTTTTGTGGAATTTTATACGGTAAAAAAAAAAGATAGTGAAATATATCAGAATTCTAAAGCTAAAGGCAAATATTTTAAACATAGGTTAGTTGTGACGAGTAAAACACAGTTCCAACACCATAAATAAAGGCAGTAAATATTTCTGGAAGAAATAGAACTCATTATATTAATATATGTTAATTTGTCAATGTCCTCAAAATTCATAGAAGCAATGAAAAGTTAGGTTTTACCAAAACATTAATGAG